TCACAAGGAGGAGAGTGGCCGAAGCAATCCAAGACGTGGTGGCGGTCATTTTCGAGGACGGGGACGTGGAGTAAATGGAAGAGGTTGGAGACCATCTGAAGAAAACTCTAATCAAAGAGGAGAGAGTTATTCAAGAGGTCGTGGAAGAGGAAATGCAAGATCAAGGTACGATAAGTCAAGCATAAAATGCTATAACTGCAGAAAGTTTGGGCATTATGCTTCTGAGTGCAAAGCTCCAAACAACAAAAAAGTTGAAGAGAAGTCCAACTATATTGAAGAAAGAAGTAAAGAAGAAGATATGCTATTGATGGCTTGCAAGAGTGATGAACCAAATGAGGTTCATATATGGTATCTTGATAGTGGTGCAAGCAATCACATGTGTGGTGATAGAAGCATGTTTGTGGAGCTTGATGAATCGGTGAAAACAAAGGTGGCTTTGGGAGATGAATCAAAAATGGAGGTCAAAGGCAAAGGAAATATTCTCATCCGTTTGAAGAATGGAGATCATCAATTTATTTCCAATGTCTACTACATTCCAAGCATGAAGACCAACATCTTGAGTCTAGGACAACTCTTAGAGAAAGATTATGATATTCGACTCAAGGATAATAGTCTTTCTCTAAGAGATGAAGCAAACAATCTCATCACGAAGGTCCCAATGTCAAAGAATAGAATGTTTGTCTTAAACATTCAAAACGACATTGCAAGATGTCTAAAGATGTGTTACAAGGAGGATTCTTGGCTTTGGCATCTTCGGTTCGGGCATCTCAACTTTGGAGGGTTANGAGCAACAAAGCCACTAGAACTCATACATACAGATGTATGCGGTCCGATCAAACCAACTTCACTTGGAAAGAGTAACTACTTCCTTCTCTTTATTGATGATTTTTCAAGAAAGACATGGGTTTACTTTTTGAAAGAAAAATCAGAAGTGTTTGAGAATTTCAAAAAGTTCAAAGCCCATGTTGAGAAGGAAAGTGGTCTGGAGATCAAGTCCATGAGATCTGATCGAGGAGGAGAATTCACGTCTAAAGAGTTTCTGAAGTATTGTAAAGATAATGACATCCGAAGACAGTTGACGGTGCCAAGATCCCCTCAACAAAATGGAGTAGCAGAGAGAAAGAATAGGACTATCCTTGAGATGGCAAGAAGCATGCTCAAGAGTAAGAAGCTACCAAAGGAGTTGTGGGCGGAAGCGGTTGCGTGTGCGGTTTATATAACAAATCGATCTCCAACAAAGAGTGTTTTGGGAAAGACACCACAAGAAGCTTGGAGTGGAAGGAAGCCTGGTGTATCACATCTAAGAGTCTTTGGAAGCATTGCTCACGTTCATGTTCCAGAATAGAAGCGGAGCAAACTAGATGACAAAAGTGAGAAGTACATCTTCATTGGGTATGATGCTAACTCCAAAGGCTACAAGCTCTACAATCCAGAAACAAAGAAGACAGTCACTAGTCGGAATGTCGTCTTTGATGAAGAAGAAGAATGGGATTGGAGATCAAATGATGAAGACTACAATTTCTTTCCATCTTTTGAAGAAGA